CCACTTTGTTAATGATGGGAATTATTACGTTATGACAACACAAAAGAAGATGTGGTTAATGTTGACTTGGTGGCCAAAGAAGTCTTCACCAAAAAGGTGACATGTAAACCAGAACTTAGAGAATAAGAAGTTTAGTAAACATTTATCTACATCCAACCATCAGTCTTCCAATTATTATACCTGATGAAATTTAGAGTTAGTCTTTGCCCAATTGATTTACTTCATTTTATTTATTACTAGACATACATTTTGATATAGAATATCATCAGAGTTGTTATTAACCATGGATTTCTAAGTGCCATGCTAGGAGAGAGTGTTTTTTTCAATGAAACTGAGATTCAGAGCATTTAAAAAACATTTTCATTTGTATAAATACAATGAATGACAGGGTTGGATTCAAATTTAAGTGTGGCAGCCACGAAATGTGTCCCTCAGGGCCCCAGCTGTTTCGTTCTGAAATCCTTTGCCATGGCTGCATGGACACCATGCTTCCTACTGGGCTGCTCCCAGTCAGCTCCTGAAATACTGCAGTGGTACCAGGCCGGATCCCTTCCTGGAAGACATGGGACTCCTGGTGGCAGGCGTTGGCTCAATGACCTCCTGGATTTTCTTAGGACTGAAGGACGACCTAAAGACACTTCCACTTGACCTTCCTTGCCTTCCTTCTTCACGCCAGGTCAGACTTGCACTGTGCTCTGCTCTCCCAGCATTTGCTTGCACCCTGTGCATTTCCCCCCACAGTCCTGTCCCTAGTAAATCCTGGCACCTTTGATTCTATCTTTGTATCTGCTTCTCAGAACACCCAGACTATTGCACTGTTTGACCGAAGAACCCATGTGCTTACAAAAAGTGGCTAAGAGCAGATCAAAGACCTAAATGTAAGAGCTTAAACAGTAAAACTCTTGGAAGAAAACAGATCTTTGTGACCTTGGATTAGTCCATGATATTTTAGATATGACTCCAAAATTGCAAGTAACAAAGATAAATTAGACAAAAAAGAAAAGACTTTGTGCTTCGAAAGACTCCTCAAGAAAGTGAAAAGTCAGTACATGGAACAGGAGAAAAGACTTGCAAATCATGTATCTGATAAAGGATTTGTACGTAGAATATATGCATACTCTTATAACTCAGTTATTAGATAGGTAAAGGATCTGAAAGGGAGTTTCTCCTAAGAATATGTACAAATGTCCAATATGCACATGAACAGACACTCAGCATCATTAGCCATCAGAGATCTGCAAATTAATACCCATGATCAGATATCATTCACATACATGTGGATTGCTACCCTGTAAAAGTTGGACAACAACAAGTTTTAGAAAGGATGTTGAGAAATTGGAAACCACATCCACTGCTGGTGAGAATGTAAAATAGTGCAGCCACTTAGGAAGCAGGTGGGTAGCGTATCAAAGGGTTGGGCATGGAGTTACCACATGAGCCAATGATTCTCCTTGGTGTGGCAGCATTAGTTATAATAACCAAGGAGTTGAAACAACCTAAAAGTCTATCAACTACAAACAGGTAAACAAAATGTACAGCCATACCACAGTATTTGGCAGTAAAAGGGAAAGAAGTGCTGACATATGCTGCAACATGGATGAGCCTTAAAAACTCTGTGTTAAATCAAAGAAGTCATCCACAAAGGACCTCATATCTTAACGATCACATTTATGTGAAATGTGCAGAATAGGCAAGTTTATGGAGACAGAGAGTAGTTTAATGATGACAAAGGCTTGGAGGCATGGGGCTTCTTTCTGGAGAGGTGAAAGTTTTCTAAAATTGATCTTTGTGATGTTTGCACAACTATACTAAAAACCACTGACTTGTACATATTAGGTAAATGGTATGTGAATTAAATCTCAATAAATCTGTTACAAAACAATCAACCCATGTTCTTTGAATACATTATCTAGATCCCTCTTTTGTCATTTATCATAGCACCTTATCTTATTTTTTTTTTTTCAAACAAAATGCTACCTCAAATCTCCCAAAGAGTGATGATTTCTAAATTGCTGGCCTTCTTTTTTCTTCATTGTATTTTCCAAATTTCTGCAGTAGGTATAAATTACTTCTGTATTTGAAAGAGTTACATTATACAGTAAGGAGAATATCACTTCAGTAATACAATTATTAGCTCCTGAAGGGCAGAGTTTGTGTCCCTAGAGGCTCTGTCAGATGCTATTGCAGTATCTTCCACCCAGTAGGTGCTCAATGGCTTGTGAATATTATTGATAATGGCTCTGGGTTTGAATGGTCCTAACTCGTTGGGTCTTTGGTAGCCTATGTGAAGTTGTTACCAGTAATAAAATTTGGGAAAAGTAGGTGTTATTTTATGTCTATACATCTCAACAGGATTGAAAAGCATTTTCCCTGAAAAACAAGGGAGTTTTAGTTTGAATGTCAATTTCAAGAGCAGATATTTTACAAGTGCGGCAGGCAATCTCAATGCTCACCTTCAAGTGGATCCAGATAGGCCAGCTGATGTGCCAGCTCCCCTTCCTCTTAGTTGATCTAAGGTGGCATCTCCTGTTGCTAAAGCTGGAGTCATTTGGTGAACAACTGCTTGGCCATGTTTTGACACAGAGATAAAGTCATCTTCTGGCTGCATTTCGTTAGCCCTTGCCCTCGGCTCACCTTGCTGGCCGATTCTTTGTACACTGCTCTCTCTCTTCGTTTTTGGGTGGCGAGGTGGCAGGGCTGGTCAGTTGGCTGGTGCCCAACATGAGCTACCTGCCTGGCCCAGCTCTGGTCCTTTCACACCTACTCCTTGTATTTGCTCTTCACAGCGATCCTGCTGGATGGCCACTGGACCTCCTTCGAGATGAGGAAACTGAGGCACACACTGTAAGTGGCAGAATCTGGCCACGACGGGCCAGGCCACTTGCTGTGTGGCTGCAAGCAAGTCTGGCGCCAGGCTGTCTGGGCTTGCTGCCCACCAGCTGGGCAACTCCCCGGCTCGGCCCCCTGGCTTCCTCATAGGGGTGATTATAGTCCTATCTTACAGGGCCTGGCATAGGGATTGAGTTCGCCAGTTATTTGTAATGCACTTAGAACAGTGCCTGGCACAGCACAAGTGCCCTGTAAGTGTTTTCAAAGTAAATAAACTGAAGCCAGTCTGACTGCAGAGCTGGTTATGGGGCAATTTCAGTCCTGCTTTGTGCTGTCTTCCTGAGTAGCAGCAGAATTGCACCACGACTGAACTCGTGCTCCAAGCAGAGACCAGAGACTTACCTGCGGAGGCATCTGGGGGCCTCCTGACACTGGCAGACACTGCTTTGCCTGCAGCCATTCTAAAGCCGTGTGAATCCACTCAAGTCCAGGTGACCAAGCGCACACACCTCCTACTGTTACATGCCCTGGCTGGGCCCCTCAGGGCAAGGGCTCCAGAGTGGCCTCCCAGTGGATGCCCATGCAACAAACCCACAGCAAAGCTGGTATGCCCCCGCCCCACCCCATTTGGATATGGCCTCTTCCTTCCTCACCACACTCCAGCCAGGTGGGCCCTCTGTGGGTTCCTCCACTCCCACCAAACTCATTCCTGCTAAAGGCCTTGCACCTGCTGGAAATGCTGCCTTCAGACTACTGCACAGTTCACTTTTCTCCCTCCCATGCCACCTCATCATGCCATCTCGTTCTGAGATGGCCAGCCTTGAGGCCGGGGTTGGGCACATATTGGAGCACGGGTTCGAGTCCCCACTGCTCTGCTTCTGATCCAGCTCCCTGCTAATGCTCCTGGGAAGGCAGTGGAAGATGGCCCAAGTCCTTGGGCCCCTGCCGCCCATATGGGAGACTTGAATGGAGTTGTAAATGCTTGGCTTTGGCCTGGCCTGACCCAGCCCTTGCCTCTGTGGCCATTTTGGGAGTGAACCAGCCAGATGGAAGCTCTGTGTCTGTAACTCTGCCTTATAAATAGATAATTCTTAACATAAAAAAGAAAATTCTTTCTTGATCAAGAGCTGCTGAGGAGGGTGGGAGGAAGCAGGCACGGTTGGAAACCAGGCTGCATGGGGAAGCTTCTACTGTCCCTGGGCCTGGGTGGTGGGTGAGTGGGGCGGGATGAGACAGGAAACGTCCCAGGCATCTAAGGAGAGGAGCCATGAGGGAGGGCCGAGGAAACTCCCTGCTCCCATCTCTGCTGTCCTGTGCCCTCCTGCCTGCCTCCCGTCCGTCGCTAGACTCTCGGGAACCAGGACACACCAGCCAGCCTGCCAGGTGCAGGTGGAGAGGCTTCAGAAACCAGCCAGCACTCTCTCCTCCCAAGTCAATGTATCTTCCTAAGGGCTCTCACGCTCCACAGCTGGGATTACACGCCGACCCGACGCCCGCCTCGCCCTCCGTTGCCCCAGGACGGCAAGAATCCGTAGGGCAAGGAAGGTTTTTTTTTTTGTCTATTTTTTCATCTCGGTCTCCAGCGCCCAGCTCAGCTCCTAGCTCAAAGTAGGTGTGCACCTACCAGAGCCTAGGGAGGTTGCCTAGAGAGGAAAAAGCCCACGGCAGGATTTTTTTTTTTCTTGCACAAGGATCAGGGGGCGGAACACTTCCTGGCGCCAGGTCAGCGGCTGCCCCTCTTGCCCCTCTGTGGCCAGGAGGGATAGCAGGTGCCCGCGCGTCTTCCCGGTTCGGCTACCGCAGGGCCCGCTCTCCTCAGGGGCGCGTGTCTCCAGGTGAGGCCCGAGCCAGCCCCTTTGCACTGGGGACCCCTCAACCGAGCCCAGTGCGAGCGAGCGACGCGGGAGACACCCAGAGCTGGCCCTAGGTTATTTTTAGGCGCCAGCCGAGCCCCACTCGCGGGCGGCGGGGTGGGGGAGGAGAGGGCGCTCCCGGCGCCTCCGCGCTCGCTCCCGCCGGGCACTGGCTGCGCGGCCGAGCCCGGGCGGCGGCGGACAGCTGCGGCGGCGGGCAGTGCGCGCGCGGCTCCGCTCGGGGACCTGCGCTGGGCGGGGAGGGCGCGGAGGGCGGGCCGGGCGGGGGGAGCGGGCGGGCGGGAAGGGGCGGGGAGCGCGCTCTGGCGGCGGCGGCGGCGGCGGCGGCGGCCGTCCTCATCCCGGCGGCCCAGCGCTCGAGTGGACGCGGGGGCTTCGCAAATGGCTTGTCCCGCGCTCGGTCTGGAAGCTCTTCAGCCCCTGCAGCCCGAGCCGCCCCCCGAGCCCGCCTTCTCCGAGGCGCAGAAGTGGATCGAGGTAGGTGCGGGCGGCTGCTGGGCGGCCTTGCAGGGACGCCCGGAGCCAGTGACCCGCGCGCTCACTGCCCGCAGGTCCGGCCTCGCCTCCCCCACTTTCTTCTGCCAGCTGCCCGGGGTCACCGGCGCGGGCCTCAGCCGAGCTGCGCCGGCCTGGCGCATTGGCAATACGGTCCCGGGTGAAGGTGGCTGCGAATGGGGGACACCGCAGTCTGGCCGTGCGCGTGGGGGCGGGAAGCCGTCGCCCGCGCCTCCATCCTCGCCGGCCCGACAATCTCAGCTCGCGCCGCTTCCAGGCGCTGCCGAGCGAAGCGCAGTGCGAGCAAAAGCGCTGCAAAGGCGCAGGAAGCGCGAGCCCGCAGGGTCGTTGGGGGCCCCGCGTTTCGGGGTGTCCCGCTCCCCGTCCCACATTCCTCCTCCTGGCCTCCCTCCCCGCCCTTCGGGAGCGCCGCTGGCCGTGTCTCCATCGAGGCGCATCCCCGCCGGAGCCTCTGGTCGCGTTCCTGGCTCCGGGTCAGGTGTGGGGCTGGCTCAGCGCGCCGGGCCTGGGAAGCCTGCACGACCCACCTGCGAGCGAGCCATCCGCATAGATGCGGGCTCGGCCATTGGCAGAGCCCGCTCCTTTCCCGAGATGGAGGGGGTGGGTTCGGAGGGATCGGGGATCAGGGCCGGCTGGCAGTTTTCACATCTTGAACGACTCTGGCAGGCCAGGGAAATCACCGGAGCGCTCGCTGGGCCATCCTGATTCCTGATGTCTATCTGGAGAGGCAGCTTGGTAGCCCTGCGCTTTCCAAAATGACCTGTGTGCAAGGGCTGGATCGCCCGGGGCGCCCCAAGGGGGCAAGGTGGCCCCCCTCTGTGACCGGTACCGGGAGCCAGTGCTCAATGCGGGGTGGGAGGAGTGGGGGAGGGGGCTTTTTCTTGATGCGTGGTGGAAGGTGAATTTGGTCCTCATCCCGTAGTGACCGGCAACCGTCTTGGGCCGCTAACTGAAAGGCGGAAGCGTCATGACCGCAATGATGAAGCGTCTTATTGCTGGGACTGCCACTGGGCGCCCAGCCCCCGCCTTGGGGACCGCGGACCTCAGAATGCTCCTGGGGTGCTGGAGCTCCCAGCTCCGATGGTGCTGCAGATTTAAGCCCGATGAGCTGCCTGCAGAAACCAGGGGCACTAAATGCAGCTCCACTGCTCCAGCTGGGGGGGTGGGGGAGGGCGGGCTATACCCTCCAGGGGTACCTCCCGCCAGCAAGTGCTGCTCAGAGTTTAGAAACATCTCTTTTAAAACAGGGGTGAGGAAACAGGGGAGTGGGCTCGAGGCTGTGCCTCTGAGGGCGCCAGACATGAGAGCTCAGCAGTAGATGAGGAAAGATGCTGGCTTTTTATTTTTGGTATGTGGATGGAAGGTCTTGGCATGGGACAGGTGTTTTTGTCCTGCTGCAGACCTGAGGTCATGGGCTGCCTCAATGGGGGCGTTTCTAACCCCACAGACTTAGGGGAGTCAGCTAACTGTGTTTTTTAAGGTCCTTGGACTTTAAAATTCTCAGGAGAGCTTTAGGGTGCGGTGGGTGTGAGGGAGGCTGGAAGAGCCGAATTGGTTTACTAGTCTTGAAGGCAGGAAGTGAATTATTCGCGGTTTCCTCGGTTGTAACAGTGGCATACCTACTGTGGCATAGGTTACATACAGGAAAGCTCACACAGCTGAAGTGCAGAACTGCTTGGATTTTGACCTTGGCCATCACCGCAGCCCCCAGCTAGATGCAGGTTACCTGACAGGCTGCTTTAAGTGGTGATACATTGCTGGCTAACCACTCTACAGGGCACACTGTGAGCTTGACAGCCAGGTTTAAGAACAGGGGGCAGGGGCTCCTTTAGAAAGCAGGCCGTTTGGCATGATTCCTGGTGCTTTACTCCTCTGCCCCAAGTAATGGGACATGTGGGGCTGTGGGGCTGGCCGCCAGGGCGCACGCGGGACGTGCATTATTGAAGCAGCCTCTCTCCTTTCCTTTGCAGGAGTTGGGTTTCACAGCCAGGAGAGCTTCCTCCCTTCCCAGGCTCTAGAAAAACGTGTTTGCTCCAAGAAACATGGAGACCTACCCCTTCCTGCCCTGCAGTGGCATGTACGAACCTGGGACCCTGGGGGCAGTAACGGAGGCTTGTATTCAGTTGCCCGGTGAGCCAGGATTTCTGCGCGCCTAGAGCAGTAAGGTAGCACTCCTGTGCGCTGTCCCGGGAGGGTGATCCTGAGCCAACTGTGTCTCTGTTAGGGGCCCATTGTCTGTGGTAACGTCCTCCTCGTTGGGAGGGCTTTTGTTTTTCCCTTTTGTTCAGCTGGTGATTAAATTTCCCACTGGCTTTTTGCCCCCTCTTTTTGAGTAGTCAGGAATTTCACTCTCTCAGAAACCTGTTCCCTTGGGTGCAGCAGGTTAATAAACAAGCTTTGCTGCTTGCCTGTCCCTCATTCCTCCGTCTTCCTTGAGTTGGGGGTGACTGAGAAAATGTTACTCCTAATCCAGGCTCTGGGATCAGGCTCCAGGACATAACTCCTCAGTGAGGAATGGCTCAGGCGCAGCCTCGGCTGTTTGAGGACTCTGTCACTGGGCAGGAAGTGTGGCCTGGGAACGGGGTCCCCGTGTCACCCCACCCCCTGACTTCTGCCTTGGCTGGCATGGAGCTCGCCGTGTCATGACCCAAGAGAGGACAGCTGAGACACCCAGGTCAGTGCCTCTTCCTCCGGGTAGGAGCAGGCTGTGTGGGTTGCTGTGGGTTCGGGGAGACCCTTCGAGGAAAAGGCAAGCTTCAGGTATGAGTTCTGGCCCCCAGCAGCTTGGGGCAGGGCTCACTTCCTCCCACATTCCTTTCTCACCCGGTCTGGGGCAGCAAGTGCGGCTCAGGGGCCAGGAGGTCACACTTTGGAGCTGGCTTTCCTCAGTTTGCATCCCCAGTCTATTGTCACGGAGCAGGAGATGACCTTGGCCAAGCAGCTTTTTCCTCCTCTTCTGGTTCCAAGTGTTTTCTTTGAAAGAGCGCTAATTGTTAACAACAATAACCAAAATAACAAAGAGATAGTGTTGAAAGGATCTGTAAAACAGGATGCTAATAATAGTTCACCTACTTCTTAGGCGTGCTGTCAGGTCTAAATAAGTTAATATATCTAAAATGCATAGATTAGACTCAGTACGTAGGCAGTGCTGTGTAAGCGATGGTTAGGGTATCATCACCATCCCTGTTACTATTACTCTTACTGCCCCAGTACTATCACTGCTATTGTTGTTGCTACTGTTATTGCCATTGTTCTGTAAATAACAACTAAGATTTTTCAGAACCCTTAATTTCCAGTGTAGAAAATATAATAATTCTGTCATCTACTGATTTTGTCCTATTAACTTTATAAACTGTGGGTCCGTGGCCTAGAATTACATGTGACTTGTTACTGTAACTTGCATTAAAAGTGATTTCAGGATCAGAAGAAAACCTGTAATATCTGCTCACAGAATGATCCTGGTAATCCCACAAGATGTAGCCAGTTATTCCTCAGTGTTATGCTGCATCTTTAAGTTCAGTGCATGGCCTTTGCTACCAGGCTCCAAGCAGAATGAATGCCCGGTGCCTCTCTTACAGACAGGCCAATGTTAAATCATGCAAGTGGTGAATGTCTAGCTCGTCATCTCAAATGCAGCAGGGTTTTGTTCGCTCAGGTGTGTTCACTCTTGCTAAGAAAAAGAATACTTCTCCCACTGGTTCTTCTTCCCATCACTGCTTTCCACTCCAATGGTGTTTATTGAGTTACAAGAGTTTGTCAGTAGGTGGTTGATTCTAATGCTCCTGGTTGTCCCATCCCCTCCGCCTGTCCACCCAGCACAGTATTTAGCTGCTGTAATCTGTAGCTGTTCTCTGCTTTGCCAAACCCTTTCTGGAGGAACAGATGTCCCTTCAACTTGGTTTCAGTTGTGATTTGGAACAGGTTGCCTGGTCTTAGGGAGGGGCTGGAAGTTTCACCCCAACTCAGCAGTACTTGGATGTCCTGGTTCCTTTGACTTTAATCATAGCCTGCCCATGGGGCCTGGTGAGAAATACAGTCTTATTTGTGACCTAATCCATATTTCACATGAGTGGGAACTAGGGCTGGTGGGGATCAATTTGTCATCTTTCCTCCTTCTCTCCGGTCCATGTGGAGTTATTTTCTTATTCATCTAGGCCCCGGTACTCAAGATGAAAAGAACTCAGGGTACTGTAGCTCTCCGAGACTGAAAGAAGTTGTATTGTTTGGCAGCGGGGACGATTTATGAGTGGCCTTTGAGGTACTCTAGCATTCAGTGGCCAGTGATATATGACACTTGTGATGTCATGTTATAAGTTATGTAGGAGTTCTAATTTTCCGCCTCTGTAGGGACTTGGTGACTCTTACGTGGTTTCCTTAAATGAAGATTTAATGTTGCTGTGGTCCTCCAGCTCTGCATGGAGATCTGAGGAAGAGGAAGAAAAACCTTTCTTGTGGGATCCAGAAAGGAGTGGTGGTCTGAATAGATATGTAAATCAGAACATCTTTCTCACCATGACATTTAAATAGTCCAGCTTGTTTGTAGACAGGCTGCCATGACACACAGTGCTGTCACGTGGCAGGAGAACAGTGAGGTCCCACAGATTTGGGGAGAAGGGAGGTGAAATGGGAGGTGGAGCTGGCACTTCTTGCCCCAGCATCTCCCTGGAAACCAATCGCATCAAGCACACTACAAATGGGCGGGCTGAGCCACCAGGGAGGGTTAGGGTGAGGCTTCTGTTCCCAGGCCCTGGCTCTGTTGGCGCCTGTTCTCCACTGATGGGTGACAATGGAGCCATGATGAAGACATCTGGCCTTGATTCTATGAGTGGCAGGCAGTGCTAGGTGGACCGAGGCAGCTCTAGGAGAACTGGAAATTGGCCCGGCAGCTTCTTGTTTTGCTTTTGATGATTTTGGAACTTAAATGTGTCATAGGTAGGAGATACTATAACAATCATAATGAT